TTCTTTTTGGACACTCTTTATTTAGATACGAATTATTTCCAGTTGTTATTGTTTTCAGCAATATACAAATTTTATTTGCTTATTGTTAGTACAAATCCAGGAAAGGATTATGTGTACGTATTCGACAATGTTCGTAGGCGTTCAAACAATTGCAAGTAAGTATTCAGCTAATCAAAAGAAGTAATTAATCGACTTGCGTTCCACGTTTATGAAAATAAAGTTATGTAACCTGAGGGGTTATTTCTTTATTTATCTATCTACCGCTGTGATCAGTATAATGACTGTATTCACTGGCAAAAGAGTTTACTATTAACTTCTCGAAAGGGAGTTTATAATTATCATTACACTTTAATCGATACGTGGGAACTTAGAAATGTTGTACGTTCAGAGAATGAATTCCAGACACTTATCGTACGTCGCTCATGTACAAGATAATCCAGTGGTTGGTTGTATAGGGTGACACTTAAGTTGGATGAACAAGAAAACACCAAAACTTTCCAGGAAGGGTTTTAATAACAATAAAACCAAACAAACAGAACAACGGTAACAGAACAAATTCGAACAAACACTATTGATTCATGTACACGCGACAGCGTACCGAGATTCAGGGAATGCGAGATTCATAGCAAAATTTGGAATGGCTTTATCCATTATTAAATTAACTCGATACTTTAAAACTAAGTACACTGCTCAATGTGGAACTGACTTTTTTTCGGAGATTTCTTCTGAATTCGACACCTAGCTTCTACACGCCCATTTCTTGGGTCCAGAAGTTTCTGTTCTTATCTTACTGGCGGAAACACTGAATATCGGGACGCTTTAGCATAACTATACCATGTTAATAGCTATCTAATTGACTGAATTTACAATTGTCTAAATAATTTTGACACTAAACTTACAAATAACCCTACACCTTCCTCTTGTAACTCCGTATGGCAATACGGGACGGATTAGTCAATCTCATTTAATCTATTCTCATAGCTTGGAAAATTCGCCTAAAAACCAGCAATTTGATATAACTTTCTTTTTCAATTATTATCAATTTAACAATTTGATTTAATTCTAATTTGGAACTTCTATGCCTTTCTCATGTTTTCGCGCGTTATTAAAAATATAGGTTTCTTTGTTCTGTCCCAGGATAGGCTGACGCCTCCCGGACGCAACAGGTGACACTGTCACATGGTGATACGTTTTCAAGAAGTTACTTAACCCGAAGTGTTTTGGGACTGTTCTAATTATCGGTTTGTAAATTTAGTAGTCTCCGCGACAAAAGCTCTTCAGACCACCCTCTAAATATAAATATAGCGCCCATACTACTTGATCTTCGTCTGACCGTGGTTGTTCTTAGAAGGCCTAATAGAACTATTGAGCCCCAGTCTTTAAGAAAACCGCCCCATAAATTACACGGATCTGGCTTTTGTTACAGTTAGGTTAAAATTAAGTACTTGCATAAAAGTTACCTATAATTTTACTCCAAATTATTAATTTAATTATAATTTATCTCATTATATAATATCGCTTATCTTTTCATTCTTATTGACTTTATGTTTACAATTTAAAATAACTCACAGGCCTTAGATAGATAATCAGTAACTTCAGTGTTTAGATAAAATCTAACCCAATTTCACAACAGTATCTGATCTATATAATTCAAGAATTATTATTCAAATTTCTTTCATCAGGGTAATACAATTTTATGCAAATCTTGTTCGTTGGCCAGCATACATTAACTTACTTTTTTCTGTTTTAGCGCACTGTTTTTTTTATGACAAATAATTATTTCTTCCTTGGCCTCGATTCCTAATCTTGAAGAAAATCTCGGGAACTATAGCAGCGAATTCATAATTCTTTCTGTATTACACCTATACCTGCATAACATATGTTTCCCTAATTATTTTAATGTTATGTAAAAACGCCGACTCACTCGAACTTCAAATATATAATTTCTAAAAAGCAAATTTAATGTGTAGTGTTTGCTATTGAAACTGCTTGCCTAATTTTTTTGAAAAAATATTAGCAAAATTGCTATCATATCTCTCTTAAGGGTAGAATCTGTCTTGTAGGGTTAACAATAATGTTTTTGCACGCTCAGGTAATTTGACACCATTACTGAATTTGTTGACTCGTATATCCCTCAGCTACAGAGGACGAACACCACCCACTGTGCCTTTTAAGGTCTAAAATATCTATTTCTTGGTTTACCAGAATGGTGGCAGAACTTCTTCGTAATGCGTGTCCGGTATAAGTTCAGGGATCTGGCAATTTTAAGCACTGTGCCCACTGGGCCGACTTCCTTTGGTACTTCTATATTTCTACCTGGTTCGTGACCGACCCATCTCGCATTGTGAGTGAGCTGACTTTGTCTGTTCTGGTCGTAATGCTAGATATTTTTTATAAAATTCCAAATAATTAACTGTCTCGTTTCCTTGATTTGTTATTCTAAACATTCGTGATAAATACTTTTTAATGTCGAGAATATTTACCATTATAAACACACCTTTACCTACTTCAATGTTATTTATTTTCATGGTATAAAATTTCAGAACATGAAGTGTCGACTACTTTGTAACCATAAACTATGCCATTTCACAAGAATTCAAGTTTCATGTGAAACTATAGATATTTAAGAAAATAAAAATAATTATAATTCGAATAAATGGCGAAGGTGCCAGTGGTTGAGTAAAATTCATTATAATGTTTAACAAATTGTTAAACAAATTATTAACTTGAACATACCCAGTGTGTATCAGCTTTGTTGGCATTTAATAGGATACATTCAAAATTACATATCGCATTGCTGTGTTACTGTAACATCCCAAAAATTTGGGCGAATCTTCAAACATCTGTTTATTCCTTCAGGTTTTTTTAATGCTTGAAAAAATATGGTCAAGATATTAAACTTTATAAAATTATTCAATAGTACAGTTTGCTGAAAAAATAGTGATGTAACGTGAATCATTTAAATTATGATCGACAAATTGATAATTATATCCAATTTCCTATTAATACTGAATTTTTTTACTTCAAATTTAATTTTATTATGATACTTTAGTTTTCATTTACAACGTAAGTTAAATTTTAAAGCTACAATATGCAATCTAATGTTTTCATTAGAATCCAGTATGTGGACATTAAATACGTAATTATAGACTCGTATACCTCAAAGGTAATCCCTATTTATAGTATAATAGAAACTGATATTACAAATGAATTATTATAAAGCTCTCGCATAACTTATCGTAGTTACTATTTACCTGATTAATTGGGATTAGCCTTATCGTATGGTGATAAACTTTTTTTATGTTATGTATAATGGTGAATAAAGCCACATTATGAGAAAACTGCTTAATCCTTTATCTGAAATTAAATTTTTTATCACGTAGTCGCATATTGTATGTTATTAAATATTTAGTCACAATATACAGATTTGTCAAAAACAATAGTACATATCGCATGATTTCTATGACGTCAGTGAATTAATTAGCATTCTCGTTTAGATAATTTAGTTATTTTATTATTTCCCAGAAAAGTTCACTTCTCTAAATTTAAGGAAACTATTTGAATATTCAACAAAAAAATTATTAAAGGACGAACAATAATTCTAGTAGGTATAGTTGTAAAGTTTTAAAATAAAAAAGATAATAAAAAAATTGTATTTATTAGAAGACTCTGGCTCAACTAAATCCACTGTAGAATTATGGTTTTAATTTTAAGACAATTAAAAGTTTCGAGAAGATAATATACAGTGTGTCCCAGAAGTAACGCAAAAAATTCGTATTTTATTTTGTGTTGCGTTTTCAAAAAAACGGTAAAACACGTCAATTAGTAAATAAGAATTGTCATTTTGTCACGTTGCTTAAACCTTTTTTGCGTTATGTTTCATAAACCTATGACGTCATCGACATTTTTTTTTAAATAGCACTACCTAATTTTTTAAGCATAAATCGATAGCTCTTTTGAAGGGAAATGCGTCGATATAGGGTTTACCCTACTTTACTTTGACAGGTGCGAAAAAAAATCCAATGACTGGAATGGACATGGTTTAAAATAACAACAAAAGTAGGTATCATAAACTGATGCGAGAACAGTACCACAGTAAAAAATGGAAATTTGGGGATGTTTTGTGTTTTGGTTGATTGTAGGTACGTTTTTATGTATTGATATGTTGGCGTTTTCGACGATACGACGAATGGCAGTGTGTGAATTTTCAGTGGCAGCTAAACATAACATTTTGCCTATCATTTTCTATCACTGTCGTTGACTTTCTAGATCTAGACAGATTTCTAACATGGCCAACGTCTTCCAATTTGGGTACTAATCTGCATACTGTAGACGCAGGTATTGGTTGTTCTGGATACTTGGCATTGAATAATTGACATACTTCATCATAACTACGGATCCTATCTCCGTATCCAACCATAATTAGGATTTCAGTTCTTTGTTTCTCATTTAAATACAACACCATCGTAATGTAAAGTTATGGTATTTGTAACTGTCACAATGATATGACGCACTATTGCATTCGCTAAATGTCGTCTTCAAAACAATTCCTACATAGCCACTGTGATCGGGTGTACCTGCCCAATCTACATAAAAACATGTGCCTACAATCAACCAAAACAAATTTTTTGCTATAGCACTGTTCGCGAATAAGTTTATGATACCTATTTTTGTAATTAATTCAAACCATGTTCATTCCAATCGTTGGCTTTTTTTTCGCACCTGTGAAACTAAAGTAGGCCAAACCCTATACTATAATCTTAGGTTAAACACACAGCTCCACAAAAAGAATTAAAGTAGCAGGTAACTGATGACTACCTGAAGTTGAACTAGCTATTTTTCCATTTACGATCACAAATATTTCCTCTTCCTTTATAGTATGTAACTTGGGAGCGATTCCAGAGGTTCTCAGTAAGTTTTAACAATTCAGATAATTATTATTAATTTCAAAAATTAAATTATATTACAAAATCATCTCTAACTTTGTAAAATTTTTACAGGAATTCGCATGTTGGACCAACCGTACATGACGGATCTGATAGAGGCCAATTCCATGGGTCACGAACCCAACCTTATAGATATCTACAGTGCCTCGTGGGGACCCACCGATGACGGGAAGACAGTTGACGGTCCAAGGAACGCCACGATGAGAGCGATCGTTAGAGGTGTTAACGAGGTAAGTTTGACTGAATTCAACAACTCATTTGATCAAATGTCTCGTAGTAAAGTACTTTCCATTAAATAAACGATTCGGTGTTTAGCGAAATGGGAGGATAAATGAAAATAAATGATTTGGTAATGGGATTTTCCCCCGTTGCGTAGAATTCAAATTAGGAAGTGCCAAGTGAATGTATGCGTTCCATTATATAAATAAATTTTAATTTTTCTCTAAATTTAATTGTAGAAGAATTAATCTCTTTTCCTTAGTTGTCAAATCGGATTCTCTGCATAAGTAATTTTACATAATTTGTAGCATTTATTGGAATAAACAATGCCTGGCCCCATCGATAATTTGAGATAGATATATTTATTATTGGAGGCAAATTTTGGAACATATACTATGATTAATTCCCACCTCTTATTCTCCATTTTCCTTCTTCAAAATTTTGCATAAGGGCTGGATTGATTCATTGATTCAATTTATAAATATTTTTCTTTTCTGTTCAGTTTTAAATTACTCTGGTCCAGGCGGTATCTGTTTCGGGTTGGGTAANCGTCTTCAAATTTGGGTACTAATCTGCATACTGTAGACGGAGGTATTAGTTGTTCTGGATACTTGGCATTGAATAATTGACATACTTCATCATAACTACGGATCCTATCTCCGTATCCAACCATAATTAGCATTTCAGTTCTTTGTTTCTCATTTAAACACAACACCATCGTAATGTAAAGTTATTGTATTGTTATTAAGTATTTGTAACTGTCACAATGATATGACGCACTATTGCATTCGCTAAATGTCGTCTTCAGAACAATGCCTACATAGCCACTGTGATCGGGTGTACCTGCCCAATCTACATAAAAACATGTGCCTACAAATAACCAAAACACATTTTTTGCTATAGCACTGTTCGCGAATAAGTTTGTGATACCTACTTTTGTAATTAATTCAAACCATGTTCATTCCAATCGTTGGCTTTTTTTCGCACCTGTCAAACTAAAGTAGGCCAAACCCTATACCGACGCATTTCCCTTCAAAAGGGCTATCCATTTATGCTTACAAAATTAGGTAGTGCTATTTAAAAAAAATGTCGATGACGTCATAGGTTTATGAAACATAGCGCAAAAAAGGTTTAACCAACGTGACAAAACGACAATTCCTATTTACTAATTGACTTGTTTTAGCATTTTTGTGAAAACTCAACAAAAAATAAAATATGAATTTTTTGGGTTACTTCTGGGACGCACTGTATATCATATGTAATTTTAGCTTATGGGCTGAATATGCTCAAAGCAATAATATTTTGCATAAAGCTGTTAATATTTCAAAATATGCCATGTTAACTGACTTTCTTAAGAGAAAAAATATTGGTCATAAAGTGAAAAAATCAAGATTCTTTACCGGAGAACACATGTACAAGTTTTTAAATAATAAGTTTTCTCATGAATTCTATTTAAACATAAATAAAAGTAGGAATGATATTTGGAATAGCAGGAGCGAGCAAAGAAGAACTATGTAATATCATCGTATGTCTAATAATAATACATGAAAGAAATGTATGTTTTAATGTATCCGAAAGTCAATGAAACGTTATTTCAGGACAGTTTATTGATACTTTTATTGAATATGAATTATTACATATTATACAGGGTGTAAGAAGTTTGACTGCCATTACTTGAGCATGAAATAGAGTAATAAATGAATAAAAAAGTTATATATTACAGGGGGGCCGGCGTAAGATTAACGGTTTCCAAAATACAGCGAGTATTAATATTGGGGAGTTTCATCACAACGTGACAACAGCGCTTCTAATGTTACACAGCTAATTTCAAGACAATTGTTTTCTAGTTTTTAAATAAATAAAATAAAATGTATCGATTTTGTAGTACGAAGATAGTGTTGTGCTTAAACTTCAGCTTGAATTTTAGTAATTATGAATCTCTTAAAACAGGAACTGTTAATCAAATTATAAATTTGAAAATATGTAATTAAAATACCCAAAGATTCACGTCGTCGTCCAAATAATCATACGTACTAAAAATAATTTAAGTACTTACCAAAAAGCAAAATTCAGTAATTTTTAAATGCAACAAATTACAACATATGCTCAAACATCACCATCTTCGATGCATGTACGACACCTTCGAATCCAGTTTTCGCGCACTCCCTGGAAAATACCAGGATTTATTCTTATTTGATGTGCAGTGGCAAAAATTCGTCTTCGACTGTCGAATTCCAGATACCAACTGACTTGCATATTGTTGGTTATTGAACACCTTAGTACCTCGTGTTAACCGCCGACCCGTTGTCACACTGCTCAATATGATTTCTATCGAATTTTAAATTTATTGCAACGTTTATTATTTTTTAGAATTATGCATAAAGAATTTTAAAAGAGTGATAAGCATTGTATTTTATGGTATTCTATGCACGCAGTTATGTCAATATTACTTAATTAATCGAATTTGTGTACATCAAGTTGGAGATTTTGATAATTATTTTCTCGGAAATGGTTGAGTTTAGGACCCATGGCATAATAATAATAATAATAATAATAATA